CGCATGCGCCAGCCGCGTTGCCATGGCCGCCGCGCGCCGGAAGTGCTGCGCATGCGCCCGCCGCGTTGCCATGGCCGCCGCGCGCCGGAAGTGCTGCGCATGCGCCCGCCGCGTTGCCATGGCCGCCGCGCGCCGGAAGTGGCGGGCGCGAGGCCGCCACTGCTGGCCTGTGGCGGCCGCCCTCGCGTGAGGCCTCGGCGGTGCCGCCATGGCCCGGGGCGGCGGCGGGGCGGCCGCCGGCGGGGAGCTGGTAAGGAGCGCGCGGACGGGGTGTAAGGGCGGCGCTGCTGCCCCTGGTCAGCGGCATCCCGGTCTCCGGAGCCATGTCGCGGGGCTGCCGAGTCCCCGAGTCTCGTTGGGGACCCGCCTGACGCGGCTGGCACTGAGCTAGTCACCCGGGACACTTATTCTAGGCTAGAAAATGCTAAATAAGTAAATAATAGCAAGATAAAGCTCCTTAAAGATGCTGCGTGGCAGGTTGCCACTGTGAGTTTCCTTCCCTAAAACTTTGTTGAAATCATGAACCTTGCCACAAAGTAGAGTTTTTTGGGACGTATGCTATAATCAGTTACCTGGAGAGTGGCAAATGTCACAGCTTGTGTGTCTGTTTCCTAGGGAGATGACGGCTTGTCTGTGATAACCTGTGAATCAGATGCAGAAATGGTGAGTTTTATTTGTGGTGTGCTGCAGGTGAGCGCGGGGTTGAAAAGGTGTTTCAGGGTGTTTGTGCACACACTGCATCCTTGTGGTGGCTAGGGATCAGTTTGCAAACAGCAGAGCCGGGGGATGTGTTTTTGCAGCGTAGTTTGGGACGGAAATTTGTTTAATGCAGAAGCAATGCTGGCATCTCGTTTCTCAGCACGGAAGCTTGCAAATTGCTTGGTATCATGTCATTGTTTACCAAGTTATGGGCTCTGTATGTTCATTTTGCAGTATTTTGATCAAACAGATCTTTCCATTAGCTAAATGGAAAGGTAAGTTGCAAGAAGACTGAACAGATCATCATCTCTCGTCGTTTTGGACTGCTACTACTACTCATAATTAACACTCTGGGTTGTAAGCACGAGTGGACATGAAACATCATTAGGATCACCATAAATTTGGCGCATTGTTACTGTGGCCACATACAATTTCTCTTATTCTGTGCAGACTTAATGCTATTATTTATGTTTTGTACCCATAAAATTTTGTGTTATTAGAGCACTACTTCCCATTAAAAATTGAGATTCAAGTCGCTTTCAAGGTAATATGCTGGAGTCTAGGAACACTTTAAATACACAGATTTTTCTTTTCTTGCAGAAGTTAAAGAAGAAAATTTTTCACAAGCCTCCAAAATCACCAAGTAAGAGTTCCCAAGTCTTTTCTCGCACATCTGTTATGCGAAACAAGATAAGATTTCCATGGGACACGGAAACTGGAAAGTTTGCATGAAACAGCATCTTGTGATTCTCTATAGAATTATTGACTGCTTTTGTTTCACGTTGCTCCTTCTAATGACTAGCATTTTGAATTTCTTTTTCTCTTCTTCTCTCTTAAGAAATGCTGAAGCTTTTCCTTTTTTCTGCTATGTGGAATTACTGGAGCTGTGCATCCCACCATCCAGTAGATAACTGTGGTTATAGATTAAAAAATTATCTGTTTAATTTGTTGTTTCCTGCCCACGACTTTGATAGTACAATGCACAGTAGTGTGTTGTGCTGTTGTTGCATCTTTTATTTTAATAAAGAGCATACTTACTGGGGAGGACATTTTTCTGTGTTTTATGATTCTTACTGGGCTTTTTCATTAACCGTTCTTATTCTAATTAAAAACAATGTTTAAAAAGCAATTATATTAAACTTGTTACTGACTTCATTGTTTGATCATAGTAAATGACATAAAGCTGAACTTTAAAGCTTTAGGTTGAGATGGACTCATGCCTGTGGTCTTTGATAGCAGTTTGTCTGTCTACCCACCTTTCTTTTACTTAAGCTCCCTTGTCTACATGATGGCATTTAGAAACAGCTGTTTAATTTCAGCAGTAATGTTTGTGACAGTGTTTCAGATAGTCTTTACATTATCAAGAGAAGCACAAATTAGATAGAGCTTTCATCTGTACTAATAATTTAAAGCAGAATTAGCATATTTAAACGTGACCACCTTGCCTGAAGCAGCATTGTGAGGACCTCCTCAACAGTTACAGTAGGCTAGTTCTGTCTTGATGGCTGCAAGAAAATTGCTAGCAGATTGTTAGCCATACACTTATTTTTGTTGGCTTAGCGATATATATCCTCATCAATAGGACATTTGGGCATATGTTCATTGAAAGCACAATTTCATATGTGAATCTAGGCATGCAACTCTCTTGAGGGTGTGTATTTAAACTGTACATGTGAATATTTCTGCATATATTGGATCATGCTATTGTGCCTCTAAGTTTCTTCACTTCTTGGAGTAGGTTTTTTTTTTTTTCAAGCATGGCTTTTTAGATTAGTATCCCATGGCTGTATTTTTATAGCTAAGAGGACTGTGTCTGGGAACCTGGAAGCACAAGGCTGAAAGAATTCTTATAACCTGGAGCTTCTTAAGACGATGCTGAAGTATTTTCTCTTGCATTAGAGTCTCCATACAGCTCTAGCACACAACTGTATCCTAAAAAAGCTGCAGCTTGGAAGTCTCTGCAGGGAGCAGGCAGCCCGTATCTTGAAAGTGCAGATTTAACAAACCCAAGGCAGATGTGGCCGGGAACACTGAAACAAGGTATCGATATAAATATTTCCTCTGCATATCTGAATAAAATTCAGTGGTGGGGAATGCTTCACATATGCTGGAGCAGCGCAGGTTTCCTATTTCATTAGAGGCTTCTCTAAGTTCACTATTCTTTATCTGGGTGGTTGGAACTGAGTTTGAGTTATCAGATTTTGAGAACTGGAATTTATAGTAGGGTAATTAACAGCATCTGGAGCTTTCTGAGTTGTGTTTTCTCATAATAAATCTGTACTTTCAATCCACAGTTATTCCTGATTTTTCTATTTTGTTGTTGGCAGGAACAAACCATTCTCTCAAATCTGATGTTGACATAGGGCATTTGCGAACTAACTTTTCCAGTAGCACGCCAGAATATTTGAAGGAAGCTCTAGGAATGAAGAAGCCAAAACATTCCCGTTCTTCTAGTAATGGTAAGCTCTGTACCTGCAAGTAGATAAGTTTAGTAATTCTTTTTCCCCCTTGTAAAGACCAGCATTTTTTAAGAACTTAGCCTTAGTATAGCGAGAGCCACTTCAGTTTAAGCTGTATTAAAATATGTGTGTCAAAATGATATTCTTGGAATACTTCTTGAGATCGAGCTGTTCCCATCGGGCTGGTTCTCACTGTTCCTAAATTAGCTAAGATGGGGGCTTCTAAATTTTTTTTGAGCAGTCAATTGCTATGAGCTTTCAGAATTCTTGCAAATTGCTATGCACTTTCAGTTGAAAACATTGTAAATATAATATGGTTCCATGGGCCAGCTGTAGAGAATTTATTGTTACTTTGCAAAGCAGAGTTTGGGAACCATTGATAGAAACCATCTGCTTGCCCGAAATTCTGTGTAATTGACTCCTTTTCCTTCTCTGGAAAGTGTTTTTATCATGTGGTTGTGATATTGAAATCAATTGAATTTTACTAGAGAAGGAAAATTAAAACTTTTCTGGCCTTATTTCCTTAAAGGAGAACTGTGAGCTTAAATCTCACATTTAAAGTGGCACCTATACTGTTATTGGTAATATATAGCTTCCTGCAACTGTAAAAGAGTATAAACTTTCACATACTAGAAACACATAGAAAAACTTTTTTTTTTTTTTTTTTTTTAGAAATCTTTTCTAAATAATTGGTTTGTTGAGAGGGATTTGTTCTTCCAGAAAGTATGTTTCTCTTGAAATGGTTGTTTTTAATGCTAAAGAGAAATATTTAGGAGAAATTTGCAATAAAATCTGGCAGAAGATTCATATAGTAACACTTGCATTTTTAAAATATATATTTTTTTCTTAACTGATTTTGTTTCTTTAAAGAAATAGCAGAGTTTCCAATTTGCTGCTGTTCCAAGTATTTTCCTTTAACTGTAAAACTTTCGTTTAGGAGGAATACCTCTTTAAAGTCCAGTGGTTGTACACAGGGTTTTTTCTGTTTGTTTGTTTTTTCCCCTCCCCTGTAGGCTACATTCCTGGAACTCCTGACTACAAGGAAAAAGAAGATATGTATGATGAAATTATAGAACTGAAAAAGGTATGGCTTCTCTGATATTTACACAGTAAAAATCATGGGGCTTCTCCATCTGTGTATAGATCTTCAGGCCTCGTTGGTTCAGAATGCTTTGGTTCCTGGAACTGGGAACCAAATATTTCTGTATCTGTAATGCAAGATTACAGATCTTCTTCTCTGAACTAAAATTGTGTCTATTTGTGGCAATTTCATTGTTCTTATGGTATAGATACTTCTGAGCACTGAATGTGGAAGCCTTCAATTATGCTCAGTGCTGAACCCCAGCCATGGCCTTAGCTGGACATTCAAGAGTGTTTGATTTCTCTGTCCTCCCTTTTCTTTTTGTTTTCTTCTCCTGGTTGTTTCTTGTCACACTTTAACAATTTGTCAGTTGAGTCCTTGTGCAGTGTGGGAAAGAGGAGGACTGGGCAAGTCAAACACTGAAGATATATGTAGCCAAATATCTTGGTTGGTGTAGATCATTTTTCTGAGGTTGCCTTTCCATTAAACCTTTTTTTCTCTTTGCTTTGTCACTCTGTTGTTTATCAGTCCCAGTCTAGTGTGATGGCTTTTTTCTCCTTTTTTTTTAGTTTCATTCTGCCATTGTAGTTGGGTTATTATTGGCTTCAAAACATGTGTCCCTGTGAGAATTTAGTGCATTCTTGTCTCAAGATGAGCCTATATCTAGAGTTTTGTTTTTTGTTTCCCCTTCCCTGTTTTAGATGATACAAGCTCAGAAAAATGAGGGAGATCGAATGAAGACGAAACTCCGTCGACTGGAAGAAGAGAATAACAGAAAGGATAAACAGATTGAACAGCTGTTGGATACTTCCAAGGTCAGTTATAACTGTCATTTGTGGAGTAAAATACAGAGCAGGGAACATGGAACTGAGTAGGGTGATCCTCTTTTCCTCTCACTGAATATCAGAAATGAGTAATATGGTGGCTGCTGGGAATGGTGAGCTTGAATATGAGAGGTGGTAGGTGTAGAGTGATTTCAGTTTTGAGTATCTCAGCTCACCATTCAACTTACTTGTAATTGCAATTCAGGGGAAGATCGTGCTGTGCTGTTCGGATAAGTTTATTTAGCAATGATAATCTTCATTTCTGAAGGTAAAACTAAATTGACTTCCTTTTGCTCTCACCGAAACACTTGGAGAGCAGGCCCTTGAGATGGCAGTCTCTTGCAAGGTGATTGATGCTGGTAGTCATGAGACCTGAACCAGAGAGCAAAAGATCAGTTTTATTGTCAGACCTGTGAGGCTGAGAAGCGTTTAGGAGCAAAGGCAGGAGATCTGAATTGCAACAAAGTCCTTCTGCCTGTTGTTTTCTATGTACTGTTCTATGTCTTGGGAGAAGTGTACTTAAGAGCATGGGGACTTCAGAATGTAAACTATTGGACTAGAAAATGACTATGAGGATGAGGAGAATAGAAAATTATTTGTGGACAGGGAACAACCTGTAAAATAAGGGAATGAGTCGGACACTTTCTTCATTCTCTTCTCTTGCAGGGCTCTGAGCTGGCACGAGTTTTGTCAGAGAAGAAGGTTGATAATGGATTGGTACCTGTTCCTTTGCTACCTTTTGCTTTGTTTTTTTCTTTTTCTTTTGCCAAATTGAACTACTACTGATTAGAAAGATAAAATGAAGTAGAAAAAAAAAAAAAATGGAGAAGCATGTAAACATTGCTTTTTACAGTTAGTTAAAAAAAATGATGAAGACCTAGAATTAGCAGTAGCTTAAAGAGCCCTCTTTGTCATCATGGTGAATCTGTTTACATCAGTATTTTTTCCTGTTATTTACTGCTGTGAATTTAGCAGGATAGTACGTAGAACTGTTTTTATGTGAGCTATAAAGTATGTAGGAATATGCATGTCTGATTAGGTAGAATTTATAAAGAGAGGGCAGGATTTGGGGGAAGCTGAACTTGCATGGGGAAACGTTCTTATATGTGTGATAAGCTCTTTGTTCTTTCTGTAGGTGGTTAGTACCTTAAAGCAGAAGATTCTTAAGCTGGAGCAGCAGTGCAAGGAAAAAGACAACACTATCAAGTATGGCTTTGGAGGGAGAGGCTTGTATTGGAGAAGATAATCAAGGAATTTTGAATAACGTTTTATTTTTTACATTGTATTCTTTGGTTCTCTAAGGCAAATTAAACCCTGATCACAATGAACTCTGAAAGTATCTTAGAAACTATAAATAATCCAGAAATTATAAACCTCTTTTGCAGCTTCCTTTTTAGTCTGACTGGACTAATCTTCTCGTTCTTGTATTTTCAGCCATTTCCAGTCAGATGTAAAGACCACTAATTTGGAAGAAATGAGGATAGCTATGGAAACCTACTATGAAGAGGTAGGTCTGGCAAGGCCTTCAGCAGGCATAGGGAGAAGCAGTTGTCAATTGTTAAGCTGAAATATAAATAGCATGTTTTAGCCTTGTTTGCTCAGCTGCACCTGGCTTTGAGGAAATCGGCTATTCACAGATGTTCTCATAGCTGACAAAGCCTTTCTGAAGAATGTTGAGCATATTAACTAAAGGGGGGAAATAGCTCCTTCATGGAATCTTTGTTTTGTACTTCACAGGTTCATCGTCTCCAAGTCCTCCTGGCGAAATCTGAGCAAATGAGGAAAAAGTATGTCTAATTTTTTGAGGCACATATTTATGTATGTTTGGTATATCATTCATATACTATTTTAACGAATAGAGAGCAACTCTACATGAGCAGTTTATATGAACTTGTCATTTAAAATTGCTGGATTTGCTTTTTAGTGCTAACATGGTTGATTCCACATGATTGGACGAGGCATGTATCTTAGTCACATAATTTTTCTTATTGTTACTGGAAAGTAATCCTAGATCTATCTAAAAATTCCGTGAAAGCTCCGAAACTTTATCTCTGTTAAGTAAATATCTATTTTACCAAATAATTGAACCTTTTCTGGTTGAAAATCTTACAACTAATGAGTTGTTTGATATTCTGTGCATAAGTTCTGCACCCTGTTCAGGATGTGTGCTATGAAGAAGGTAATCTGCAGTAAAAATTACTTTCCTGTGGTGCAGAGGAACAGATCCACCGTTCATGGTAGCTCTTGTGAGATATCCATATGTGGTGCTGGTAAGATGGCATCAGAAAAGCATCTAGTAGTGCTTGTCTGTGCTTGTCTGTGATGTGCAGGTGTACAGATGGGCATGAGGACAAACATCTCTGAGAGAGACCCTAGAGAAGAAACAAAAATCAAGGTACAAAGGCAGAAGATAAAATAATGATAAGAGTGCAAAATAAGAACATCTGGATAAGGCAATGTTAATCCCTCTGAGAAGGGGTTAGTAGTGTCTTGGTAGGATAGTAAGATTTGATACCCTAGCATTTCAAAATTTGGTTGCCCTTCTAGCATTGTTTCAAATACAGGGAAGTATTTTTAATTCTGATTTGAACCCTGCATGTACATATTTGTTTTTGCAGCTCTAGTAAAGCTATATTGACCAACTTTAATTTTGGATGTAATTATTGAAATTGATAAAAACAGATGAGAAGTTCTTAGGGATTGTTGTATATACTTGTGTTTCCTCAATCTATTTTCTCTTGTGGATTAAAAATTGTGATTGTTTTGTCAGTGTTTAAAACTTTTCATCTCTTCTGGCTCAGACATGCCTTGACTAGCCTCTCAAGGCTGAAAGCCATCACACTTAATTTAGTTACAGGTGAAAATAAGTCATCAGGTCTTCTGCTTGTCCTCATTTATTCACAGCTTCAAAAAGCAGTGGTCAAGGCAGTCTCTCTTGATTATATGGCTGTCAGTCTCTTCTTGAGAGGTCGAGTACTAGAATAACAAGTGATGTTGAAGGTCAGGACTATGACACATAGCAAGAGTTGTAGGAGTGCACTTTTTTCATAATAACCTGTCTCCATCATTTCTAGCTAAAGCAAATGACATTTAGCTCCTTTTGATCTGTGTTGCTCTGAAATATAAGTGTTTATATATGAAGCTGTAGTGTCCAATTGTTTTTCAAAAACAAAGCAAGCCTTTTAAGCCCTCGAAATAGTCAGTTCTACTTTACCTACCATTCCGCAATTGCTTCATTTAGTTTTGAACCAGTCTTAAAATAATGGCAGTGAGTGATGTAGTTATGTAAGTGCAGCTGAATTACTTCTATGGCTTTCTCTTGGTTTTTTTTTTTCCTCTCATATGTTTTTTTTCCTCCCGTATGTGTTGGTGCTGTGTGCAGCATCCTGCGTAGTCATCTGTGGTACCTGGACAGAATTATTTGTTTTGATGGTTTCAGTTCTCTCTAATTCCCAAGAGGTAGATTAGACTTAATTTTTCAAATAAATTGTATTCTAGTTGTAGAGTATTTTGCCCTTAACTTGATAAATGCTCTAGTGAACAGGATCTAAACCTCCTTTGTAACCTATTCTGTGATTGTCATGTCCACGATGCCACATCCAAAGGAAGGTCCATTCGTTGGTTTAGACCTTTCTCCTTAGATGGAGGATTTAAGAACTTTCTCGTAGCAATAGAGCAAATATTTCAATTCACTAGGGATCTGTTTTGTGAACAGACTTTACAACTTTAAACATCTGGAAGTTGAGATTTCTTCCTCCTTTTATTAGAAAATTAAAAGGGCAAAATCATAGTAATATATTCAAAGCAGTTTTAACGCTTTGCAGGCTTTGCCTTTTCTGGTGCCTGTCATTCCCACCACATCAATGCTAGCTGTATTCTCCAAATCTGTTTCAAATCTCTCATTGATTGAAATATATCTTAAATAAATAAAGAAATTCCTCTGTGGGTTTCTTTCCCAGAAATGGTTTCTTTTACATTTGAGTAGCAATCACAGTTATCTGAAAATGTATTTCTTTGGATTTGAAAAATCGTTCCATTGTGGGTATCCTTTTCTGTCACGATCTCTGTCTGCTTGTTAAGTGAAAGAGAGCAATTCAGAGCACCTAAGTAAATTGTCTGTCTGGAGCAGGATTTTGGAGGAGTCTCTCCATAGCTTGAAGAGAAGCATTGTTTGATCTATGGTTTATAGATCTCTGATAAATGATTATAAAGTTGGTTAACAAAGCAATTAGAAAAACAAATAACATTCTTGCAAGCATTCTTGTTTATACATAGGGAAACAAATAGAGCAAGCAAGGAAATTAATGAATTACACTTCTTAAGTTGACATAAATTAGAAGAATTGTGAAGATGTTCAACAGTAAGATCTTTGAATGTTTTTTTACCCTAGAATCCTCAAATCAAGTGTTAAGAATTACTGTTTTAGAGGGAGATGAGGCAGTTAACTTAGCCAGCTGACTTGCATAGTGGGACTACTTCATTTTTTCTGATTTTTCTTCTTTGTTCTTTTTAAGTTAACTTTCTCTTCTTGTCTTCTTTTTCAAGTTCAGAGGGCAGAGATACCCAAAAACGACTAAAAGCCCTGAATGCTGCTGTCCTGAGATTATCCAGGAACATCAAGGAATTGCAGGTTGAGAATCGGAGTCTGAAAGATGATCTTGACCAAGTACTGAGCAATTATCCTGCTTCTAATAAAACAAAAAGTATGTGCTGAAAAGTTGGTGAACATGGGGCAGATATTTCAATGCATTTTGAAGATATATTTGAGAGAGGATGGGCAGGATGTTACAATAGCAGAAACGAAGGAGTGAAGATTGGAATGAGGAATTTCTTATAAGAGTAGATAGATCTCTGACTTGTGAGGAGGCCACTCCAGTTAGCCTTTGACTCTCTTCATTTGCACTTGAAGATTTAAGATTTCATTGCAAAACTTTTTCAGATGTCAAAAAAAATCAATATAATTAGTTTGTACTAAATTCTGAAATACCCTGTGTAGGAAGTTGGATGTTTCAAGACAATTCTTATTTCTTTCATTGCTATATCCTTAAAGTTGTGGTTCAGTTGTCTTTAGGGGGTCTGGCTGTATGGACAAAAGTTTCAGAAAACCAAGGAAAATGTTGATTTAGGTGATTTAGTTTTATGTTTAAACCTTTGTTACCATGTTTAGATTATGGTGAGTGGAGCAAACAGAGGCTGATGAGAAGAATTTCAGAACTGGAAAAAGTAAGTGATCAAAATCATGTGGCCATGTTACCCTTTTTCAAAGAGAAAATAGAGAACCACTGGCTTGTACTCATGGCATGACATCCTTGCATGTGTTAGGCTTGGGCATTCTGGCTTTTTAAGCTGTTACCTGAGCTGTGCTTGCCTTCCCACCCATTTCCACTTACATTTGTTACATATAGATGCAAATTTTAGGAATAACTTCATTTAATCTTAGTTTTCCCTCGGCCCAAGTGAAATCATTCTAAGCTATATTCAAACTTGCCTCTCTCGTCTTCTCCACTTTGTTTTTTCTGTGTAAATTTCTCCTTTTTAGAAAGTAGATGCCATGGAGAACACGAGGTTATCATCAGCAGATAGTGAGACATTACAGTTACTTGCTGTGTCATCTTCACCTTCTGTAGACCTTGGTCATTCACCTCCTCAACAACTGGACCATGAGGACGAATGTCAACATCTTCGAGGACTAGTGAAGAAGCTTAACAGTGATAGAAGAGCACTTCAAAATCTCCTACTCAGTAAAGAGTAAGTGGAGGTCTTGTTTGAGTGTTCTTTCTTAGGGATGAAATGTTTCTATAGATATGTAAAACTTCATAGCAAATTCTTTGTATTTTCTGCAAAAAGATGAAAGTTGAGGGTCTAATTCACTTTTTTCTTTCAAGAGATTTTATTAGTCCAATCAGATTTGTAAATATATTATATAGAAATATACACAAGTGATAGGATGGGAATTGAAAATATCCTTGTGTTTCTAAAATGCATCTCCAAAGTGTGTTCTTGTGTGTGTTTTGCCAACCACACTTCAAAGCCTTTAAGTCTTGTAGGCAGCACTACTTATAGGTGTTTTGCTGTAAATTTTTGTTCCTGCTTTTTCAACGTTGGCTTTGTTCTAATCTGCCACTTGCTCCGTTGAAGCCTGCCTCTTGCCATCTGAGGTACTGTGTCTTCTTTTCTCCTCAGTAAGCAATTTATTTGCAGTTTATGTTGCTTAGTCTGGTTCTGTGTGTCAGTGCACAGGGTCAAGCAGATTAATCTGGCCATGAGCAGAGATGTGCACACAACTCTGTGTGGTTAATAAGATGCTCAGCCTTCTATACCAGCTCACCTCTGAACAAAAATGCATAGCAAGAGCATGCAAAAAGCAAGCACACCTTGTTTCTGAACAAGATAGGTTTCCTTTTTGTTTTTTTTTTTGTTAAAAAAGGAAAAATTAAACATTCCAAATGAAAAGAAGCCAATTTTATTTAGAAGTTTAAGCAAAAAATAGCTGCTCTCATTTGAAATAAGAATGCTGTAAGTATTGCTTAGGTCTTCTTATTCCTGTATAGATCAGAGATCAAGCAGTTACTGCAGGCTAAGGCTGAAGCAGCTCTGGAGCTACAGAAGTTGCAGAATGAGAAGAAAGAAAAGAATAAAGAAGAGCAGACACTAAGGTATTGTCCTCTGTATAGTAGTGGTTTTTGTTTTGTTTTCAAAATCAAAAATAAGAAATGCCTTTTAAAGTACAATTTTCTTCTGAATTAGCTCGGAATCTGTAGGAGGTCGTCTGAACTGTGGGCAGCTGAAGCCATTTTGCTTAAATGATAGTGATAGTGATGGAATAAGTTACTAGGAATCTGAGAGCGTGTAGAAGAATTGGTTGAAAAGCAGAAAAACAAGAGAATTAGATTATAATAAATTTTGAGTAAATGAAGATATTTTGGGGGGGACCACAAAAACCCACAAATATATTAGGCTGACTTTTTACCACTTTTTTGAGGCAAAACTGTGGGGTTTTTTGTTGTTTTGTTTTAAATCTTATCTTAGCCCTTGCTTTTAGTCACCTGTCCAATATGTCATTCCATTCGCTATGGGTATACTGTATGCAATTGTGGGGGAAAAAAAAAAAAAGAAAAAAGGTTTCATTATTTCTTAGTAAGTCAGGATTTTGCTACAGTTTTATGATTGTCAGTCATCAGTTCAGATGGAGATGGATTATTAATAGTGTCAAGGGTAGCTTGTAACCTTGGGCTTTTTTTTTTTTAATTTTAGCATAAGACTCTCCTGTCACATCTTGAAAATTGATGTTTCATGTCTGTTACCATGATACATATATCACATAGTACCCTGAGGACAGTTTTCTGCTTTGGCCTTAAAATTAAACAAAACCCCATACTCTGACCTCATGGCTATATCTTCAGTGTATGCAAAACAATAACACCAGCAGTTTCTAACTCTGTGTATCTTTGCCTCATCTCTTGGTCATAGACAGGAAATCCAGAATCCTACACACCAAGTGGGGCAATCGGAGCCAAAATTGGAGGAAGATGAAACACAAGAGGCAGATGATAACATGGAAAAGCTTAGTAAGGTACAGGCTTAACTATTCTTTTTCCCCTCCTAGCTTCCAACTAATATCTTGCAAACTGAGCTGATGAAGTCTATATAGCTGCTAGATAGGCTTTTTTTTATCCCCTTTGAATTTAAATTTTTATAGAGTTGAGCTATTCATAGCATCCTTCTGGATTTTCTGTTATCTAATAAATATAATTGAGTTTAGAGGGCAGCCATTCTTCCTTAAGCGAGGCTTACATGGGGCCTCGCTAATCCAGCTGCTTATTTTTATGAAATCTGAGGAAACTGGATATTGCAACCTGCCATCCTTCTGCCGAATATAGTCATAACTGGCCAACGGAGATGAACTGGGATTGACAGCCATGCTTTTATTTAGATGCATTGTGGTCTGGCTACTCTCTTTTCATTAGAAACTAGATGAAAAGTGCTACTTGGGATTTGACCATTTTATACTTAAAAATAAATAGGCCCTGAAATTATGCATAAGCTGAAATGTGAATAAAAATGTCCACTGGTTTAAGAGGTAGCTGTTTCTTGATATACTGTGCAGTTTTATGAGAATTGGTTTTAGGTTTTGTGTTATAGGCTGATGGATGCTAGATGATGTTTTGAATACCAAATAACTTGAGTTTTAAAAAACAGCCAATAAACAGCCCTTTTTTCCTCAGCAGACTATATATATTCTTGGCCAGTAACCATCCATTTATTGAAATGCTCCCATTATTTGTAATTATCACAAAGTTCCTACCGATTTTTCATTTTAATAGTAGGTTGTCATTTTTAATATAATGTGATCCATTTGCTAAACTTAAGCCTGTAACTCAGCATTTTAAAGGTTATAAATAAATCCCCTTCACAGAATCAAGAGTCTCTTTCAGACTGTGTAAAATCTCTTGTTCCCTAACTAAAAATTTGATACCAACACATGAAATTACTCTTTTAAAGATGCAGTTTTAACTTCTATTTGGCAAGTGAAATGAATCAATTAGCTTTTTGACTATAAACAAACAGATTTCTGTGAGCATTTTGGCTTTATCAAGTGCTGACATTATGTATTAAAAAATTTCAAATCACGCTAAGCCTTCATGTGTTATAATAGTGACTTATTATAATAATGACTTTTTAACATGTAATTATATGGTGAGTAATTTGACAAGAGGTTTTAAGCATTCCTGCAGTGGTGTGGTAGGTTTGTGTGAACTGCAGTGGTGGGGAGGGAGGTCTCTAGCCAGGTTAAGAGAACCTGCAAAAATGAATTTGGTGGGTACAGCTAAACATGTCTAATAATTGCCAGCGTGGTGTTTTCACTGTAGCTTCTGTTACCATGCACAGTTGGGCTCTCTTGTGCAGGCATTTTGCCTGGTTACAGATTAAGAGCTACTTGGATAGTTTCCCTAGTGAAGTCTTACTGCAGCTCCTTTGTGATTCAGAAGCTGACTAATGTTTTAAGATTATCACTTGAGATATTTTTATAGGAAGTAGTTCAGACTGAAGTGAATTTAGCTTTAAACTTTAGATGACTGTGTATTTTGGATGTCATTGTTAGGAATCGAAAGGATCAAATGGCCAGAGGTGAAGGGTGCACCATCATCTCAGGAGAAATAACAAGAAGAAAATCTTGTTTTGTTTTTGGTTGCTCTCTCTTTTCTTCCTCCAGTTAACTAATTTTTTCAAGATGGAAGAATTGTGCCAATTTATACAAAGCTCATGGTCTCCTTATTGTCACATGATGGCCAACTCATCAGTGAGCTAAGCAGTTGATTAGGGGCCACTGCAAAATCAGATATCCTGATGTTAGATGTCAGTACGTCAGTAAAATACAAACCATTTCTCATAAACAAAGCAAGTAGGGTTCACTTTGGGAGCTTCCATTGTTCAAGGAAAATAGAAGTTTGCATAAATGAAAGCCTCTCAGCTCCCATGCTGACAACTAAAGAGGAGCAGGTACATATTTTTATTGTAGGAGTCGCCTAGATGACGGATACGAACACAGCAGTATTCAGAATTAAAAGTTTCCTCCTTAACTTCCTTCCACCTTCTGGGCAAGATAAACATGTAGCATCTTTCTGATGCTGATTTCTCTGAGTCAGTCACAAGCTGTCAACCTCATATAAAGCAAACTTATGTCTTTAATTGACTAAGTTAAGGCTTCTCTCTCTCTCTCAGGCTTCACTAGTCTGCATGCTTAAAAGCAAAGATCACAGGAGGGAGCCAGCAGCCAAACTCATCCAGAGGCGATGGAGGATGCACCAAAACAAGGTGAGATTCTCCTAGCAAGAAGAGATAGGCACGTCCTGCTCCCATCTTGATGTGATTTCAGAGTCTAGGAGGCACCTTCTTATCGTCTGTAACTTTCCAGTTGAGGATAAAGGTAAATGACACATAGCTAAAGCTAGCTAGTGTAAGGGGTACTGGGTCCTAAAGTGCCTCATTTTAATTTTGGTTTATTATTTAAGAAAGTGCTAACCAGACATTGACCACTTGGCATTATGATTGCTTTTAAAATCAAATGTAGGATTTCAGTTTTGAAATGTTATTGTTCTAATTTTAGGGAGTTATGGCATAGATAGCACCTTTATATCTGATTGGTTTCTCATGTAGTTATACATACATATATAACATACAAAAAAAATCCAGCTGCCACTATGCTAACTTCCATGCAGAGGGACATGCACAGTGTGACCTAGAATCCTAGCAGAGGAGGGAAAAAGGGTATTTGGCACCTACACACCTCCTATGAGTTACCAGAACAGCACTTCAGAACTCAAACACTGTTTTACTTTTTTATTGTAGCAGACTTTTAGACAACAGCAAAGTTTACTAGAAAATGGAATATAATAAAATGCTTGAAATAAGGATTAAATTCTTCTGAAAGGTCATGTAAAGTTTTAGGAAAGTGTTTTAAGAACAGAAATTTGCGTTTATTTGTAGTGTATGTTGTTTCTTCCAAGTCAGATAATGCTGTACGTAAGCCTGTGTCAAAAATGACTGACTTGGGTAACTAAGTATAGGTGAAAAGTTCATTTCTTTGCTGCTTTAACTTAAATCCCTAGCTATACAGGAAGTTTTGTGGTCTGACGTACAGTCAAATAGGACCAAATGATGTAGGACAAAGCATTAACATTAAGTATTGTTTTGTTAGCAAAAAACATAGTGCTCTGTTTTGTGTGTCATTTAATTGATCTTTTATGATTTGTAAGAAAAAAATGAAGCCGTTTTGGGAAATCCTTATTACATAAAATGTGTATATTATCTGACACTAACTCAAACATTTCCATTTCAGAAACAAGAAATTGCCCTGGATGAGGTGAGTGTGTCTATGACACCCAACAGAATAATAAATCAGATTTAATTTATATTAAAGCATAAACAAATAGCTTTTTATTTTTAAAGATGTTTTGTCATGAGATGAACTGTTGCATCAAGAGCATGTTAGCTGTTCACATTGGTTCATAATCTATCTTGTGACATGCCTGTTTTGTCTGACAGTTTTACTAAATGTTCACTGTTTGGTTTCAGCTTTTCTGTGCTTGGTTCCTACTGAAGAGTGATTGATTCTGAAAAAGTGGAACAAAATTTGATGCAAAGAGACAAGAATGTGTTTCTGTGTTAGATGATTCTAATAATGCTTTTGGTTTCTCTGTGATGCATTTTTTTTTCTTGAAAAATTTAAAGTAGGAATTTGAAGTCTCTGCTAAGGTGAAACATCTTGGAGTATTTTGGAGAAACTGAATTTTAATTTCACAAATGAATAGCTTTTTGATAAATATTTTGCACTAAATTGTTGATTGGGCTGTTTTTCAAATAGCAGAACATAATATTTTACAATCCTTCTGCAACATTAAATTTTTTTCTTTTGTAAATTGAAAAGAACTTATGAACATGACCCAGATGTGCTCTTTTACATCTAGATGATTTTTGTCAATTAGAAGCAATTAAAATCTCCCAGTGGAGAAAAGGCTTCCGTTCAGCCTAACCCCCACAACATCTCTCAGACTTGGCTTGATTTCTGATCACACCACAGCATCACGAAGCCTGATGGGCTGCCGGAATCCAAGGTGGAAAGAGGTGCACAGTTCTATATCTGTGAAATACAGGCTATTTCTGGTCACTAGAACTTAATTCCATTTGTCAGGATCAATCATGTACAACTCTACACCATAGAGTATGGGTATTAGGAGTATTTTATCCATCACAGGCTGGAGATCTTCTGGATTAATGCAGAATACTTGTGAAGTAGTAGCTGAGTAGGGAAAAGAGTTGTTTTCTGTATAATACCTTTTCCCTGTGGACTCTTGTTTTAATTTGTTACTGCCATTTTTCAGGTTGCTAACATCTATTCATTTCTTTATTTCTTTGTGCGCTAGACGATCGTTGTGCTTCAGGCAGCTTTCAGAGGACATTTAGCTCGGCTGAAACTGTTACTGAGTAACAGGATGCGTGATACAAAATCTCAAAACATGCATAACCTTGGAAACAAGGTAATTGTTGCAGCAAATGTGTATCCGGGTATAATCTGTATTTGTGCCTTCCAATTACTTTTACTTTTTCATGTAAAGTCCTATATTTTGAGGCCTAATTTTTTGGATCCATCAGTGGATTTGTTTTAATGCACTGGTTGCCAGTACTATTTTAATTCCAAAAAGATAATAAACTAATAAACTAATTCTCTGGCCTTCCCTTTCCCTGTCTTTACTTAGCAGCTTTTCTTAGAAGTAAAGCTTGGAAAGTAAAGGAATCTCGTATGGAGCACGCTCTGCCAAAGGCTTGCAGCGTCCACAGTTTACAACACACTTTCCCCAGATTGCCCAACTCTGAACATTTTTCCTTACCAACTAAAGCCTTTCTGTAAATCATTTGCCAACTTATCTGAGCATCCTCTAGACCTTGAGCAGGCTATAATTAACTTGTAATTCTCCATCCAGATTGTCCATCTGGCTGCACTTTACATGTACATTTATCTCGGCAAACTGGTCCAGTTTATTAGTCCTGAATGCTCCTGCTTGATAAAAGCAGAAAGCACCTTTTGTAGAGGCTGTCTTCCCTCCTAGGACTTCAGAAAGTTTCCTTTCCAGAAACTGAATGAGCTTTCCTTGCAGTTGTCTACTCTTTCATTAATTGAATACAGATGTTTCAAAACTTGTATGATAATAACATTCACCTTACTGCTGAGCTAGTGATGTAGAACCTTAAAGATGAGAATTTTTGCTCTACTGCCTGTTGATACTGCTTCCCCAATCAGGAATAAAATTGTTAAAGGTTTTGTTGAGCTTCTGTGCGACTTCTGAAAGGTCACTTTTCTTTGATGTGATTGCCCTGTAGGACCCCTGCGTGTCTCCCGGGTCAAACTCTTTGAGATTGTCTTCAAACTGCAAGGAAGAGGAGGAGACGGTGACATTCATCCAGTCTGTTTTCAGGGCTCATTTAGCACGTAACGGACTGCCTGAGGAGAGGTAAGTCAGGAAACAGATATTTCTGCAAAACACAATAGCAGGGTTGTTTTTATTTTAGTAAAATAATTTCTCTTAAAAAAATCAATTGCTGTGAAATTCATGTCTGTTATAATAGCTTCATGTAAGTGATTCTAAAGAACTGTTACATAAAAGTAAAGGGTTACGTGAAGGTAGAACAGAGAACAGCTAGAACAGAGCTGTGCATGCAGCCAGGTGGCTTTTCTAGGCAAGAGCACAGTAATCTGCCCATTTCTTAGGTCTGTGGTGACTCTTGTCTTAAATTACTTTTGTTGTTTACCACTCTGCAAGTCTTAAATACTGACTGCTGTGGTTACAAGGAGAGTCACACAGCAGTCACCTCACTTCAGTGCTTGAGCTCACTTACACAAGTGACAAGCTTGTTACCCCTTTGAGACTAGCAACTTGTATGTGTCCACTCTGAAGACAGGCTGAAATTCCTGTTTTGTGCCTCACACTGTAATTTGGCTTTTTGCAGACCCTGTGCCTCCGACGCAGCAAGTGAGGAGGCAGATTCTGCTGTTAAGCTTGGGGAGAAGGGCTCACCAGCAGTCAGGAGACATTCTTCAGTCTTCACATCGCCTCTTCCTGGTAAATCTCATTTCTCTCTGCGTGGGCTGTGAGTGGGTGCACACAGAGCTTTTGAAGAGAATGTCTGCATGTGCAGGCAGCAATGCATGTGCACACTTTTTGTGTGTATTGTTTTAATTAGATGATGTATTGCTTATTGGCAAGTGCATTCTCCCCAAAAAATAAAAGCCTTGACAGTACCAGCATTAGCTTCCTCACAGGGCTTTGCTGCCTTGTCATAGCTGTGGTTTGGAAGATCTCGCTCTTGGGTGAAAAATTGTTATCCAAGGAACATGGTGCTCCCTGATGTTACCTCTCTATTTGATCTTCAGCCTAGCCTCTTGTTCTGTATAGGACTTCCCACTGTTTTGGGGGCCCTCAGCTGTAGGAAAATTGAGAGCATATTCACCTTCCTAAATTAGTTTCTTAAGAGGAGAGATATCTAATAAAAAGAACTCTCCTAGTCAGCCATTTGTATTTAGACATGCTTTTCAGCAGTCTTCAGTTACTGCAGTAAGAGCAAAAAAATAAATACTTGAATAACCTTGCCAGATAGTACTGCTACATCACAAATTAAGAAAATATTGTTTTTTTAATGTATTCAGGCCTGTATGCAGCTTGCTTTCCTCCTTGAGTTCTGCATTGCTGCCTATCTCAAGATACAGTTAAATCCAAAGAGGCTTTAGACAGGATGTTAAAAATGCTGAGTAGAAAAGGCAAAACAATGATGCAGATAAGGCAGCCTTAGACATGCAACTTCAAAGGAGTTAAAAATAAACAGAAAATGGCTTATTCCATCCAAAGCAGGGTATTTTATGCTTTTATGGACAACCTGGAAAAAAAGAGCAGTTTTGAGGATGGCCTGAGAAGCATTGCCTTGTTTTTGTCAGTGAGAAGCTGAGAGTCCCTGCAGACTTGCTCAGAAACAAAGCATACTGAAAGCAGCCCAGGCTGTTCCTCTAGGATATGAGATGGGGAATCAATTGTGTCTGCCCGGGTGTTGATACAGAAATTACCCTTCAGTGAAAGAACATGCATATAAAAAGCTTTACTGAATTCCATGATCAGGAGCTTGTTTTACTTCTTGATGAAGGAGTAGGTAGCATTTTTTTTTCTGAAGATGTTTTAGTTTTGAGTGATTTTTAGTTACATTTACTGAAGGTATCAAGAAGAAAAACCCCTGCAGCATCATCCTGTTGTGCCTAAGCTTCACTGCAGTAGTCGTTGCTGGTACTCTCAGGCTGAACCCAGAGCAGATGAATTGTAAAATGCTGCCCAAAGAGAATGAGTTATTAAAAAAAACAAAAACCATTTTGTGCCTCTGAAAAAGGAATTACAAGAACAGAAGAAGGATATAAGATGAAGCTTGCTGGGTAAATGCAGTACTTTCTATGCTAGTAGAACACTATAGGTTTAGCCTTGAAGTTTCCAAAGCTAACTTTTTATTGCAGATTATGAAGGCAATAAATCGGTGAGTGAAGAATTTTTGGAGGAATTTATTCCAGAAGAGACAGAGGAGGGGCCACAAGAACCCAACCGTTCTTCCTTGAAGGCTTCTTCGGGTAAATATCAGAAAGGAGAGATTGGGAGCAAAGAGGATTGCATTTATTTCTGTTAATGTGGGGGATATTTTCAAATTTTGGGAAGGTGGTAGAACCTATCCAGGTAGCTTTTGAAGAAGCATACTGGATGTGTGTTTCTATAACCACAGGAGTGCCTAAAAGCACTAGTTTTAGGATCTATTCCAAAGTAGCTCAGCATAGTATTGCTGTCAGTGCTTTGGATGGTTTAACCAAACTTTTGCAGAACATATCAGAAAAACCTACTGAAGGATGCAGAGCATTTATACAGAGCATAAATACCACTTCTGTCAAGAAACATGATTTCTCTGTTACTTGATTGCTTATAACAATTTTGGGTTTTCTTGCCATTTGAATCCATTTGGCCTCAACATAGTAAACATGTCCCACATATGTCATTCGTAGTTCATGATTGATGTAAAAATCCTCTAGCAAATTTGGCTTTTGGAGTAATGCACCACACTGTTCATTCTGCAGCTTGGAAAGTACATTAACAGCACATTGTTAAACAGCTGAGTGATGTAAAGAGATCAAATTCCTTTAGCTTTAAGTCATGCAGCTTTTCTTATGCTCATATTCAGTTGAATATACTTCAGAGTGACAACTTTGTGTTTGTGAGAGGTCACTATACTGATTAGAGCTGAGGATTATACGTAAATTCATTATGATCTCAGAGAAGCCTCAAACTGACCTAACATTTGTACCCAGAGAGTGAACAGCAATATGCAGAAAGAAATGCTGCTCTTACTCAAGACTGATATGAAGATATAGGACATATGCTTCCTCCTTGCCATTTCTCTGACGAAATGAAACTAAAAGCTAAATTTCATTCATTAATAGATTTCATAAGTTTCAGTCATTAACAATTTCATTGTTATTATGTGCTCAGCTTTTTGGAAAGCAGCAAAAATAGATTTACTAGCCTCTGAGAAGTGTATAATAATCTTCAAAACTGTTCTAGAAGGCAGGTTTTGATGACAAGCTAGGCCCTATTGAATGATATAGGTCTTCTGCGAGATTTTGTTGTTGCTTAAACACATAAGCATCTACTGTAATGAAAACAATATATTAAAAGGCCACAATGCTAAACCAGGATTATATGCGTTTAATTTAAGCAGTATATAAGGCTCTTTAAAACACATTTCTATGTTTACAATTCCTCTCACAATAATGCCAAGAGGATAGTGAAGTTAAATGACTTATTGCAAAATCTATTTTCATTGAAATTTTAAGACCATTGCAAGATCTAGAGGTCACGGCACAAGTTTGGCCTTGGAATGAATGAAGCGAGAGCTTGTTCACCAGCTGCATGACTTAAAGCTAAAGGAATGTGATAGCTTTAAATCACTCAGCTGTTTAGCCAGCTCCTTCCTGAAAGTACTTTCCAAGCTGCAGAACGACCAGTGTAGTGCATTTTTCTAAAAGCCAATTTCAGTTGACAGCTATTAATACTTCCTAGCATAACACCATTCTCCACCAAGAGGAGAGCTGGTGCTTGGAGCTGAAAAATACATATTAGTGGCTGTCATCAGCGAGGTCATAGATCTCTTGGAGAGGGGATTAGAGCTACTGGTTGTTCTCCTCGGATGCAAGGAGTCTTGTATGTGTGACTTTAGTCCCTTGGATTTTCAGTTTCTCCTGGAATTGTTAGGGTTCTCCCTAACATCAAATGTTGGATTAATGACATGAATGGAGGTATCATGTGTTCAAAAAATAGCATAGAAGCAGAAAAGCAAAAAAAAAAAACTTTTTTTTTAACTATGGCAACATAGAATAGCATGTAAATGATGTTTTTGGTATTGCACAGACATAAGGAAGCCAAGCAGAATTTTCATTCAGAGCTTTGATCTTTTTTCCTCATTGTTTTCCCATTTCTCTATCCATGTCCTACTGAAGTTCTTATGATGACCTTTCTGCTTGGCTTAAGCATGCTTGGGTCATTTTTTTCCCATTCTGGCTAATAAATATGTATTTTTATGCTCTGAAATGGCTTTAGTATCAGATTATTTTACTTCGTGGTGCGTAACCACTTGCAAAGATTTAAAGGCAATAAGACAAAACGCGCCTGGTCAATATGATAACACTTGCTACGCCCTTCCCTTAAAGGGAAAAAGGGAATAATACGTGCGAGTAAAGGTAGATCCAAGTTATTCATGACTGTAGGTAATTCTGGAAACTTAATGGCCCAGAGAATATTACGCTTCCCACAAGCGCTTGTTTTTGTCAATGCTGCTAATTGATGCTGCTGTTTCCCTTGCAGTTATTTCAGCCAGGTCCTCTCCGAAGCAGCCACCGCTCACGCTCCCTCCGTCTGTGGATGAAGCTCACTCGGATGATTCAGATGATGTTGTTGTCGTCTCTCCACTGCTACGGGTGAAGAAAAACTATACCCACTTTTAAGTTTTGGTAATGGGCTCTCATGATTTTGAATTATCTGATTCGCAAACAAAAATATTTCTGCTACAAAGCATATCAAGCATGGAAAACGTGGGGGTATTAGTTTCTGGTTGTCATAATTTCAGCCCTAAAAACATCATTCTGATTGATGTGGCATCTCAGCAGCCTGTATAGCTAAACCCCACGGACTGACTGCTCCTTATGGTAAGCAGAGGGAGTTAAAATTTAAAAACAAACAAAAAAAGTAATATTTTGCCTTACAACGAGGATTATAAAATCAATTGCCAACCTTAAATGAAAACAATAAAGCCTTAAGCTTTTTCATGTCAAACAAAGTAATTTTGTTTGAGACCAACTAAAATACTTCATTTAATTGGTAAATAAAAGTAACTTGTTTCAATTTTTAGATCATATATGTGAAGGGGATTAGCTTATATTTGCTAAAAAGTCCCCTGATTTTATTATACCATATATTAACAAATATTTTTGGTGTTTTATACTAAATATATGCAGTTCATGCAGACTTTGTTAAGGCTTTTAGAAAGCCTCTATTGTAGGGCTATTCTAGGCCTACTGTATCTATAGGATTTTCTTTATTTATTGCTTTTTCCTAGTGTGTTTGCTATAATTTTTATACTACTATTTTGTAGTTGAAATACCTGATCATGTAACCAGCTTTTCTATATTTGTCAGCAAAGGTACGTAATGGCAGGAGTGCTCTGTGAAGGATGGCCTTGTGACTGCTTTTTCTGCTTCCATATCCAAGTGGATTAAGCAGGGTCATCTCTAATACATGAGAACATTTGACATAGGAGATACGTTACTGTATGCTCCTCTTTAGTGCCCTGCAAGTCTTATGCAGCGTGATCGCTCACACGTTGAGCACTGAGGGGGGGTTGATTTTGCTCTGCTATAGTTTATCCCTCTGTCAGTGCTGCCCTTGTGCGTGTGCCGCTCTGGTGTCCTGCAAGTGCAGGGAAAGACCAGCCCCAGGACAGGAGAGGCTTCACAGGGCCCAGCCTTCTTCTCTCACTAGATAAAGGTATGAATCATAGAATCGTAGCATGATTATGGTTGGAAAAGACCTTCAAGATGATGGAGTCCAGCCATAAACCCTTCAGCCCATACCTGCTGAGCCACGTCCCTAGCCATGAGGTGTCTGCTGGAAAGCACTGGCACTGCTGCTGCGTCCAGAGGGATGTGAACTGGGATGAGCACAGAACACTAAACACAGTCCACACGGTTTCATGGTTTGGGAACAGAATGGGGTGAGTTGTCTTATAATAGACCTTGCAGCTGCCTCCAGAAGGAACAGTAATTGACAGTGTTATTGGCAGACTCCATGTTAAAAACAAAGAAAGAGTGCTGGAGAACATAATCAGAATAGTCTCTCCAGATCTAATGTGTGCTGCAGGTACCTCTTCTTGCCTGGAAATAGGACCTTGCAGCCCAAACTGTCATGTCAACATCCTTCCTAAGCACTGATTTTTTTTAAAAAAGGTGAACTAGATGAATTAGGTGATACTTGCTGGAAAGAAAATTTAATTTCACAAACATACATTGAAAGTTGATGGACACTCTTATGGTTTCTTTGTCATCGAGGAGTACTAAAAAGTTTCTTGTAAACAGAAAGCACAATTTTAAATACAAGATTTTATCACCTTTTCTACCCTTCTTTTTTTAAATTAAAAATCTTTTGCCACTGTCTTGCAGAATACTAATAATTCAGAGCTGTCTCAGTTCTTTGATTCCAATGAAGCACTATCTGAGGCTTATCACAGTTCATGCCAGTGCTTGCAGCCAAAGAGGAAACTGGATGGCTGCAGCACAATGCAGCTGATTTCATTTAATCCCATCAGTGGAAACGCTGTCTGTGCTATTTCCAAGGGTGGTTTTGGGAGCTCTCCATACCAAAGCACTCTGAAGAATGTCATTTACATTCGCGTTGAGTAGGTTTTTCCTACTGTTACTTCAGTCACGTGACTGTCATCTGCAAAAGGATATATATATATATATATATTTATGTAAAATAAGAGACAAAATCCTCTTGGCAGAAGCTGAGAGCCGTTTCCCTCTTTTTCTGAAAGGCACAAGGTAAAAAGGAGTCGCCTTGCTAAATAGAAGGTGATATGTATAATATTTCCAGTCTGTAACTGGCTCTGTCATGGATATCTCCAGAGCAAAACTAAAGCCTAGGGCTTAAATGTTGAGGGGAGAGTAGGATGTTTGCCAGGAGCAAGACTAGTACAAAATACCTACGGAGCTGATGGCCTGTTTGGAAATACTTGGATGGCAGATAAAATGAAGACTATATTCTTTCACCTCACTGTGCTGTAGTAAAGAACTATTGTGACGGTATCAAGAAGCAGAAATATGTTTACTGAGCATATTGCTAGCAGGAATGCTATCAACAGGTAGGTTCTAGCATAGGGAGGGAGGAGCATCTTGGTAGGACCCAAAGACGGAAAAATCAGGGTGAAAAGGATCAAATGTCTGGTGGAATGAACTAAAATCTGCCTGGAACTTCCCAAGTTCAAGTCTGCCACCAGTCACTAGAAATCTGATATCTGTTGGAGTAGTCTGCAGGCTTGTAGTATTAGAGTTGAAGCTAACCATATGATCACTACATATCAAAAGTTTGGTGTGATAGAATATTAGGAGTCTAGAATGTTTTTTCTTCATAAGCTGTAATGGAATATGTTGAAAGGAATACTGGTTGGCCTTGTAGACTTCTTTCTGTGCTTGTGTATCTGAACACATGCCTGTAAATCTGGGAAAAGATGTGAAACAATGAAGGAAGAACAATACAATTTTAGAGTAAATGGCACCTTGCCTTCCCTCAGCTCAACAGGGAGCAAGGACAGTAGAAATCTGTGTGGCTCAGACCTGTCAAGATAGGCCCTATACAAATACATCCAGTTTCTGAGAAACAGGTCTTCTGTAGAAAGCACTGATAACCTTGTGGGGGCGTCAAGGTCTGGAATTAAAATTAAGCTCCATTGTAACGTACCTAATCTAACAGCATTCTTCCCATTCTGCTGGTATGCAAGTTCTGCCTGGGATAATGTTGCCTGCTTAAAGCCTTTTGGAATTCACAGTAGCGTTTAGGTGGTGGTTGCGTGTGAATATTGAAAGCTGCCTTTCATGAAATGCCATTCTCAGTGATCTCTTTTTGTCCTTAAGTGCCTATGCCTGTAAATATTGACACTGGCATACAAATCTGATAAACATGTTAGTTTTTTACATGACTCTAAAAATAATGCCTACACAAGCAACTTTTAAGGTAGCTGAAATGTGAAAGCATTAATCTTGGCACATGAGAAAGAGCCATTAATTTTTATGAGCATTTTAATATTTAGAACTGTGCAAATCTTGTATGTAATTTATTTTTGGATCCTTTAACATTTAAAGAATTGTCATGTATTTCTCTCCCAATTGCTGGACTTTCAAATAAAGTTGAAGTTTGTAACTGAATCGTCCCTGCCTTCCTGCTGCGGTTCCTATGTTTGCATTGCATTGAGGGGAGCTCGGCACCCGCTGCCCTCCCTCTGCACCCACATTGACTTTTTACCTCCCTGGTTTTGCTGAGCCAGTTCTTGCTAGTCCTATGTCTTTCATTCTGCAGTGAGGTTTGCCAAAAGTTAACTCCCAAACATGTAGAATTGGGGTTCCTCTTTGGGATGCGTTCATCATCATCCCAGCTGCAGAGTGAAGGGTCTCCCTGACCAAAGGCCTCGTGGGCCTGCCAAAAGTAGTGGACTTCTGCATTCGGTCTTGGCACTTGGTCTTTTATTTAAAAGAGGAACCCTCTCAGAGTAGTTCTAAAAATCATGATGTTGTCTCAGATATGTGTTTGTGGCAGTTTATGGAGAGCTGGTAGAAGGACCCAACCAGCATCAATACAATAGATGATCCTATTGACTGCTGTGAAGATGTGGGAATCCTGTAGGCATCTTACTGTCACACAGAGTCTGTGTTGTAGAACTAAGAATAGAAGTATAATGGTAGAAGACTCCAACTACTGATGTTTGATAAATATTCTCCTCCAACTTTCACTTTTCTATTGTCTTCTTTACTCTCTTGGCATGTGCTCTGGTTTCCTTAGCAAAAACTATATATATATATGTATATATAGTTTTAAATGTGAAACACTGGAGGTAAGTCAAGCTGCATGAAAGGAAAAATATTGGTGTGATTTCTTGAAGCAGCTTATTCTGGAATTTTCTTGAAAGCAGTTAAGTGTTCACACTAGTTATATTAAGCCACACTTGGGCTTCTGAAATGAGAGCACTTAATCCTTGCAAGCTTTCTCTATATCTGCGTATAGTAGGTTTGTCAGCCAGCTAATTGCCTTCCCCACAAACACTTCTAAAGGAAAAAAATAATTTAAGAAATCTTATTCTTGCTATGGGCATCATTAAGACCTGCAGAGAGCAAAACGGCCACGCTAGGCTCCAGATTACTAGGGGAGCGTTTTCAGGCATGATTCATGAAGCTGGTGCTTCTTTAGCATTTGTCAAAGGGGCAGCAACAAAATCAGTGTCCAGATACTTACCCTGCTTCAGATGTGTCTGAAGCATATTGGCATTTATTTATACGTGACCTTTAGCACTCGTCTACACCGTGCTTGAAGGAATAGCCTTGAAAGGCAGGGGTTGATTTGTTCTTTTCATTAACTCTGCGCTGGTTTTGGTAGGGAGGATTATTTTCTACAGATTAAGTTGTGTTCTGCTCTTCTTGCCCTTTCCACTGCCTGGCTGTGCTAATTGCTTTTTTTTCCCCCAAATCTGAGAGCATTTGTGCACACACAGCTCCTGGTCTCCAGTGTCTGTGTTGCTACACGCACAGGAGCTCTGAATAAACAAAACTTCCCCTCTCAAGACGTTGCTCAGACCGTAACAGCTCCCCAACTATTAATTGGATTTCTTGCTAGCCTGTACTGTACCACCTAGCACTGGGTACCACACAGGCCCCTTTAGGGCTTCTCTTCTTGGTAGTTGGAGCAGATGAGTCATAAAATCTTGATGCTCGGCATGATGTTGGGGGGACGTTGTGTCCCTTGCTATGGGCAAGTGACAGCTCACCTGGGTCTCCCCTGTGCCCCATCTCATCAGTTCTGCAGAGATGAGGCTCTGCTTGGAAGCCTTTCCTGTAGCAGGAGCTGAGAAATGAAACCCTGTGAAACTTGTCATCCGATTACAGTATGGCTGTAAAATAAAAGGGCTATATTTAAATGCCCCCCAGTTATACGCATAGATCATTAGTATAGCTTTTAATAAACAGGGATTGACTACAAAGGTTTGTAATGAAGTTACAACGTTCTGCACAAACATTAGCTTAACACTGTCGTTATCCAGCAATAATCCTTATTTGTGTCTTGGGCAACTTGTGACAGAGCCTTCTATTTGTCGAACCTGGAATTTTTTTCCTGAACAGACTCTCTGTAATTTATACATGGAATTGGCAGTTTTCATCCTTCTCTTGGCAGATATTTAATAGCTGAGTATTGCAAATCCATGCTGGTAAGCCTTCATTATTATACAAAATGTACTAGAGTGTTATGAAGAAATATCTTAAATAATTAAACAGAAATGACGACTGACAAAACAAACGAACAAAGTGCAATGTGTGCTGTGTTGTTCCTTTCTTTTTATATTCACTTATTTGCTAATTTGCCGAACTTACTGAACTGCAGTGGGTCTTGCTGTGATTAGAGTCTATTTGCCAAGTTCCTTTGTAATTGTTTCTTCGCAATTAAGTAAATAATGGAATGTTCTGCGAGTGGCTCTGGGGAGAGGAAAGGAGCGGGCAGGTGCTTTTGTGAGAGGATTTCCACGTCTTCCACCCACTTCCCTGGGTTTCATGAGGTATAAAAAAGAGTGAGTATTGTCTCAGAGCAGGAACTGACATCGTTAACTGTTTAAATTTCATTTCTTTGAGTTTGCTTAAAGCTTCACGAGATGGCCTTGGTTGGGGCCAGAGAGTGCTTATTTTTTTTTTAGTCTATGCCCCAAAGTCCATACAGGACTTCAGAGGAAAGTAATAAAGACCGAAACGCTTGTTCCTTTCTGCAGCCTTCTCCACACAAGCAGAGTCCATCAAGGTGGGGAGAGCCTCAGAGGAGAAATCAGTCGGGAACAACGTTGGTGATGCAGCTTCTTTGGAAAGAGCGGAGGCCAGAGACTGAGCGATCTGGCAGGAGGTCCAGGAGCAGCCCTAAGTTTGCCATTTCCTTTGTTTTTCAGCAGAAAGATCCATCGGAAGCGCTGGGAGGAGATGGGTGCAGTCTAGCTCAGCTTGACCTAAGGGTAGGACTTAGCGGGGCAGAGGCAGCAGAATCGGGTGCTGCTCTGGAGGTGCTGCTGGGACGTGTTGCTCTCGCTGACCAACCTGAGACCGCCCATAATTTCGTCCCTAGCCCCAAGAGGGAACTCGCCCAGCTGCAACCTGCTGCTCTTTCGATCTGCCTTGTTGGCTAAAATCTTTCATAGCACTCGTAAGGTCTGGCAGTCAGGAGAACACTCCGAACTTCACAAAGTTCAAATCACCACTTTCCCAGGGAAAAAGGAGAGCGAGGGTATGGGATCACTACAGCAAGATGTGCTGCCGTTGCCTTATTCTGGAGCTTTAAACTCATGCAGTTTAACCGCCATAGTCCTTTTTATCTTCTTAGTCTTGAATTTTGGACATCTCCCATCTGTGTGTTTTGTGCAGTGATTCTTTAGCAAAGCCAATGTCAGAGCAAGTTAGCAAGCTCTAATGTGGCTTTTAGGGTTATTTTTCAGCAGGATTATCATCTAACACGGCTGACATTTGCAGTTTGCTTGGGTTGCTTGTAGCACTGCTTTCTATACAAGGGTGATTTATTGTTAGCTTTTATTCCTGGGATATGGCGGCGGTGGCTCGTTTGTTGGTTTTGCTCCGGCAAAACAGAGAGCACCACTTTGTGCAGCAGGGGAAAGCGGCTGCTGTAAAGGAAGTACAAGAGCCTTGGTAACTCTCTCGGTGTCCTATAATCAAGAATTACCTGGAGAGGATCAAATGAGAGATGCTAGACTCCTAAGAAAGGCAAACAGGGCTTGCTGAAGTGCCCTGTCATGGAAAGGGTAGCTAGTGCTAATCCCTCTTGTTTATCCTTTAGTCCCACTTTGCTGAATATACTCATTTTCATGTTCTCGCTTAGCGGTATGAACAAGCACTGGGAGGAATTAAAGCTGTTGATGACTTGGTTTCTTTCTAATCCCAATCCTGACTAATGTAATTTTACGCCGTTCTCCCCACGGCAAAGGGCTGTGCAAGGGGCTGCACGTGAGCCCTGCCGGGGCCGCGGGAAAGCTGGACCCGCTCAAGACCCGCCGGGCGGAGCCTCCAACTGCTGCGCTGATGCTCCGCTGCTTGCAGCCCCCTTAACAGCATCCCGTTTTGCCTGCAGTTCGCTCCAAAATGTTTGCTTTGGTTTGATTTACATGGATGTCGTCAAAGGGGAGCTCGGCGCTGAGCGCCGGCGGCGTCCGCTCGCGCTCCGTGTGTGCTGCGTTGCAGCCGAGGGTCCCGGCCCTGCAGCCCCACGGGACTCTCTGCCCCGAAGCCCCCGGCAGCAGCAGTGGCAGCAGCTGCAGGACAGACCCCGTCCTGCAGTGCCCCGTGCGCCCAAGCGCCTGAACCCCAGGGCTTACGCAGAGGCTTCTCCTCCCCGAGCGCCGTCCCGCACCGCCTTGTGCCAAAGTTGCTCCAACTGGAGGTGAAATACTTTAGATTGTTTGGTTTTAGGAGGAATCTTCCTCCTCCTTGCCGGCACTGTGGGAAAGAGGAAAAGGGAACAAAATAAACCTGGCTGGGGTTGCGCTGTCCTCCTTCGGAAGAAGCGAGGGCTGTTCTCGCAGGAGGGAGTTGAGCTTTTGTATCTCACAGCTTCGTATATCTTGTACTTTTCTTGTGCTTTTCATGGATTGCAGGGCCGTGAACTCTCTGACGTGTGTCTTAATGCTACTTGGGAATGATAAGATTTCTTTTTAGCTATGTTGGTAATATTCATACGAATATCCCGTCCCCTTCAGATGCTATTGAAACCGATGTTATATTTCAGATGTTATATTTCAAGTTTACTTGAAGACTGCTGGAAGGCAGATGCCCCCTGTTTCCAGCTGCAGCCTGAATTAAGGGATATTCGGGCCCGTTGCTTGCAGCTCCTTGGTGCTCAGGGAGGCAAAGGGCCCATGAGATGCTCGAGACACCACAACGTGCTCCGTGTGATGGGAAAAGTTTAGGAGCTCTGGTATTAACACTACACTCCACTATGTGCTTAGAGCACAGAAGAAGTGATTCGATGAGTGCATTTTAATAGAAAACAGCACTTTTTAAAAATGCATTTCAGTTGCAGTGGGAACAATAGAGTCTTTGTAACAAAGCCTATGGATTTATGACAGTTGTCGCTTGCTGTTACCTTTCCTGTTTCGCTCCGCTATCTGAAGGTTATCCAGAGGAATTATTTACTTAAGTTCCCAACATGGCCTCCCAGGAGGGCACGCTCATATTGTTTACCTTTAATGTTAAAACTAGTTTAGTTCTGTTTAGGAGAAAGTGGATGGTCTAGTCTTTGGGTATGTGGTTCTGCTGGGGCCAAGACGTGCAGTAACAAACGGGTTTTGCTCAAGTGCTTCATTCACGGCTCCGATTCCTGCAGCCGTCCAAGCCGCCGAACGCTCCAGGCCCCTTGGAGTTGGTACCGCCATGGGGCTGGTACCGCGTGGGGCCAGCGCCGTGTCCAAACGCCACGCATCCGGAGCGCTGAGTGTTCCCAGGAGAGCGCGGCAAGATTTGGCGCGCCTGGAAATCACACGTGGCCTTCGCTGGTGTGGGCAGATGGGTAGCGGGTGGAAACGACCCTGCGTGGGGCAGGGAGAACGCGGGAGGGAGCGGGGCCACGGTGGTGCTTCGGTATCGCGTGGGGCTGCGCGTGGGGCCGCGGTGGCTCCGGGGCTCCGCGTGGGGCCGTGGTAGCGCGTGGAACCACACGCGGCACCTCTGTGGCTCGTGGGGCTCGGCGCGGGGCCGCGGTGGCTCCGGGGCTCCGTGTGGGGCCGTGGTAGTGCGTGGAACTCCACGCGGGGCCGCGGTGGCTCCGGGGCTGCGCGCGGGGTCGTGGTGGCTCCGGGGCTGCGCGGTGGGTTGCGGTAGCGCGTGGAGCTCCGCGCGGGGCCGCCGTGGCGCGTGGGGCT